CTTGGGCATGCCCCGACATGCGCCCGGCGTGAGTTTTAAGCCACTGGGTCCCGGACGCAAACCACGGTCGACTACGTGGGAGTCCAGCAACATAGCCATTACACTAACTGCTGGTTCCCAAAAGCGGGTTTCTGTGGGTCTCGGGGACACCTTTGCCTTTCTGTTTCTGCTAATGCCCTGGCCCGCCCCTCAAATTCAGGAGTCCAAAGTCCCAATGTGGGGGCTCTGCTCTACTCACTGAGGATCAAGTTTCCTCCCCCAGTCCACAGGGCCCCTCGTCCCTAAGGCTGTCACAGGTCCTTAGACCCTCCAGCGGGCTGGCTTAAGCTGTCCAGACCTGCTCCCTGGGTCCAGGCACGGTCAGACGGCCTCCTCCACGGCGCCACTGTGCTCACTGAGGAGGTACCACTTCAGCCTGTCGGGCAGCGGCAGGGCTCTGACCTTCACGTCCACCGGCCACGGCTGCAGGTAAAGGCGGATGCACACCCGGCACAGGTGTTTGAGGGTGGGGGGGTAGCTCTCCAGCTGCCTCAGCGAGAAGTGGAGGGCCTGGATCTTGTCTGCCAGGCTGCCCACTGGGTGGATGTCAAAGTTTTCAGGCAGCTGCAGCTTCTGGGAGTTGGTCACCATGAGGTCCAGGACGGTCTCGGCTTTGCGCAGCAGGTCCACGTGGCTGTCGTCCTCGGCACAGCCCGGGTGAGAACACAGCCTCTCGAAGACAACGTGAAAGCCGGACCAGCAGGACGCCCCATGCAGGGAGCAGTTGTAGGCTGCGCCGGACTCCAGCAGGAAGCGCAGGAGCGGGAAGTGCAGTTTAAAGCTCTTGAGGCAGATGTGGGTGAGGGACTCGTGGGCCGGGCACTCGCTGGGGTCGGCCCCGTGCGCCAACAGCAGCTGTGTCACTTGGAAGCAGAAGCGGTTGATCATCTGGGCCTCCTCTGGGTCGCCTCCCACCGTCTCCCCAAGAAGGAAGATGATGCAGGTGAACACCGTGTCCCCGTCCTTGGTGGTGGCCTTGACATCTGCACCTAGAAAACGCACAGAACCGGAGGTGTGTGAGGGGCCTCCACCCTCGCAAAGCAGCCTCTGCTGCCCTGCGGCACGGCCTGGAAGGGCGGGCTCACCTCCTTCCAGCAGGAGCCGGATGTTCTCAGTGTTGTGGATCTGCACCCCGTCACTGCTGGCCAGGGCATGGAGCAGGGCCGTCTTTCCTAGAGGGGAGGAGGGACAGCAGGGGCTGAGGACCACAGGCCTGGCTGCTCACTGCCACCCACACGAAACTGGGAGCAGGGCTGAGGGGGAGGACTGCTCTAGATGGGGCGGTCTCTTGGCAGGAAGCCACCATCCCTCTGGAAACTGCATGCACACCCCATTCCCTCCCACAGGCAAGACCAGGGACTTCCGGCCTCTTAAAGACCCTGAGCTCAGCCCGGGCAAATCCGCGAAGTCCACCAGTGCACCATGCCATGCAGCGCCTCAGCCATGCCCCGGGGCCCGCCTGCCCGCCTACAAGCACCGGCTGCCCTGTGCTTCCCTCAGGAGGTGCCCAGGCCTCCAGCCCTCCCATGAGGCACCCACCATGCTTGTCGGCTGCGTTGACATCAGCCCCAAGCTCCAGGAGGCGCTGCAGGCAGGGCAGGCGCTCGGGCTCCTCACTGGCCAGGTCCAGGGGGCTGCTCTCATGGATCTGAGCAGAGAGCAGTCAGGTGAGCCTGGGGCCAGGGGCTAGCCTGGGCCCGCCACATCCCCGGCCACAGAGCCCCTGGCTCACCCGGTCCCTCCGATTCACGTCGGCCCCATGGCGCACCAGCAGCTCCACCATGTCAGGCTGGTTCCGCAGGACAGCGATGTGCAGGGCCGTGTAGTAGGTGACTGGGTCTGAGGGATAGCCACCGCCGTGTCAGTCCTGTCTGTCCCCATGCCTCACGAGTCCCAGGGCCCAGTTCCCTCAGGACAGAGCTATCCCACCAGATGCCAGTGGACCCTGGTGTTCTAGTGGCTCTGTCCCCACCAGATGCCAGTGTGCCCTGGGGGACTGGGGAAGGGCAGCAGAGAGGCAGCTGCTGGCTGCCGGCTCCTTCAGCCTGGCACTAACGGCAGACCCACCGCCTTCCTCAGCCCCTCAACCTTTTGGGGGCTCAGCGGCTCTGGGCCTGTCGTCGGCCAGAGCAGGGAGACCTGCCTGCTGTGGCTGGTGTCAGCACAGACTCCCAGTGTTGTCGCTGGGTAGCCCTGCCCGTCTCCAGACTAACCCTGCCTTCCTGGGTGTGGGCCAGAGGCAGAGAATGGCTCTGTCCCCATCCCGGCACTGACAAGCAGCAGCCAGCGCCACCCTGCTGTGATCTACACATGTGGTGTGGCCTGCGTGAATCCCTGCCCTGTGGTGGGAGCAGAACCGCGGATGGCTGGCCTGAGCAGCACGCTGCCTTCTGACTCTGGGCGCAGGGCCCACAACTGTGTATCCACGGCAGTGGCGGTGGGGATGACTCGGAGCCGGAGAAGAGGCTAAGCGGTCACTGGCAGAGGAGCGATGCTCTCCTGGAACAGAGGCGCTGCGAGCCATTTAAGCCCGCAGGGGGGTGGGAGGCCACCCAATGGGGGCTTCCTTGGTCGCTGTCGCCCAGGAAAGAAACGAGGGAGGTCAATTCTGAAAGACCGGTATAAACAGGCGCAGGCATCCACCCAGAGCAGGGCCACGCTGCGGCCGCCAGCCCACCCACCCAGGACTCCTGACCTTCAGCGTTGAGGTCGGCCCCGTTCCGCAGGAGGACATCGGCTGCCCGTGTCAGCCCCAGCTCCGCCATCTTCAGCAGGGCGTTGCTCACGCCCTCCTGGTAGAATGGAGAGTGGGCCTTCCTCTCCAGCAGCTCGGTGAGAACGAGGATCCGGCTCTCCTCGCTGGCAACATAGCTGGACCTGGGGCAGGAGAGAGGCGGGCCAGCTGAGGGCAGGAAGAGCCATGGGATGGCTGACTCGTGTGGGTGGCCGGCCTTTAGTGTTCTGCTGCCACTGTACAGACAGGGCCTGAAGGGGTGAAGTGGAGGAGGCCTGGTGGGCCTTTTAAACTGGAGCAGACCCCTGCAGGACTGGGGCTGTGCTGTCCCTGACCTGGTGCTCACACCCTGGGCTGTTGCAGTGGAACCATTCCGGCCAGGAGCCAGAGCCAGACTGGTGCCCCTTCCTCAGAGTGCTGTGCCATGCCAGCAGGGCAACCCACAGAGCTTCCCTCCCCTCTCCCACCGAGAGGCTTGGCCTCCTCCCTGTCTTCAGGGTGGGTCTACACCAGGCCCTTCACATCCAGTTCCATCCCATCCCGCCTACCCCCAGCCTCACCCCAGCCTCGCCACTCCCTGGCCAGCACTAACCACCAACTGTCCCAGGGCCCTGCTCAGGCCCAGGGACTGCTTCCTCAATGGCACGCGCCTCTGACCACATCCCAGACAGCTGCCCCGCTGTCATCTCCTAGGGAGGCTTCCCCTCTCTCAGTCTCCTAAGGCTCGCCCCTTACTGCCTGGGCAGGACTCCACCTTGTCTCCCTGCACTGACCCAGGCTGCCCAGAGCACCAAGGATGCAAAGCAGACGTCTGGGACAGAGCTCCTGCCTGGGGCCAGCAGAAAGGCCACGCAACCTGTCCGTGCTGCCCGACCCTCACCCCTGCACAGCCTCAGAGCAAAGGCAACGCTTCGCACTGTATTTCCAGAGCAGGTCTCAAGGTGAGCTGCGCTGACACTAACACCAACCCCCGGGGGCCTCGCCGTGACCACGTGTTTGACACACCAACCTAAGACGCAGGGTCTTCCACAGGTTCGTGGATGACATGTGTTACTAACTGCAGACAGGTAAAAGGGGCAATGTCTAGTTTTATGAAATGCCGTCCCACTGTGACTTATGCCCAGTGCAGCTGATGTGCGTGCCGTCTCTGTGGCATGAGCAAAACCGCAGGATGGCGCCAGTGAGTAGCAGACTGCTTTTCCCTGAGCTCTGGCACGGGAGAGAAAGCTCCCAGTATACAATGTTACAAAGGGCTGAGACCCGGGGTACAAATTACCCTGGTTCAGTCATCACACATTGTATTCCTGTACTGAAAAGCCACATTGTAACTGTTCTTGACACAGTTACTCATAAAGGAAAATGCTATGAAAAAACATGGATTTCTTTTGCACCAAAATAAACATGAACTTGAATTCCATTTTTCTGAGAACTTTTTGCAGTCACTGCACTGAGAAGTCAGTTCACTGCTGTACCCCAAGTGCCTGGGACAACCAGCAGTGACTACTGACTGGCTTTCCAAGCTTCCCCACCACGATCACATTGAGACCTGCTCGTCTCTACAACATGCAAACTCGGCCTCTAAGCGCTCAATTCCACCCTGCTTTGGAGCGACACTTGGGGCCCTCACAAATTCCACCCAGCTCCCTTGCAACCCCGGGGCGGGCACCAGGCGGGCACCGGGCGGGCAGGGCTCAGGGCGGTTCCCTGAGGCGCCAGCCCAGCCGACACCGCACCCTCGGCCCCTCCCTGCCTCCGCCAGCGCTGGCTGGGGCACCCTCGATCTTGCCAGGGGCAGGACAGGAGTGGGCGCGGAGGGGTTCGCGCTGGAAGCCACGCAATTCCGGCTTCCACCTCGGTCTCTTTCAAGAAGGGGGACACAGCCGCCGCCACCCAGGCTTGGAGCGACGATGGAAGTGGGAAGCAGTTACCTGTCCAGGGACTC